TCTTAGTGACTCGACACGGTTAATCTTTTAGACAGTAAAGAGAAGTAGAAAAGGAGATTCAGCAGTTATGGGGAATGATGTGAAAACAGAGGAATGGAAACTACCCGACAGACGTCTCCATTTTACTGTGGGAAACTGAGTGGTGTCTGGGTACGTGACACTCAAGTGTATTCTGTTGACGTCTTTACTCTGAACTGTATTCTGTTGATGTCCAGGGTTACTCATGTTCCTGTGGGTCTATGAGACCACGAGGAGGCGTTCATCTCCATCTAACTTTAATTAGACTTATGAAAACAGATGTGGTATTGACTGAAAGTTTAGAATCTGCATTTTGTATGTTTCAAAAAATGTGTGAGAAATAATTAATATTTATTTACACCATGCCTTTGTTATGGCAACATGTTTTGGAGAAATATTCCATATGGTATTTTGTGTTATGTATAATGTGCCTATACATTTTAGGCTCCTTGAGAAGTACACTACTGTGGAGAAGGTAGAGACTACCCTTTGTACGTTTAAAGTCAAAACTTAAAAAAAAAATAATTTCCCATTTTTAACCGTAAATGAATCAGAAACCTTAACAACTACATTTAATATCAACATTTTCCGTATTTAGTACCCAGTAATTTTTTAATAAGAACCTTCTGTGGCGTGTGCCATCCCACCTGCCACACCAATTCTGCAGCTCTTAAATATGATGCAACAACATGTACAACATGTCTGTACTGCAAGAATTCATGAAGTGGACAAGAATATTTAAAAAAAAAAAAGGCTTAATTAACACAAGGAGCCAACTGATCGCAAGAAATTACCAGACACACCTCTGTGTGTGAGCTGCTTTACCGCTCGGAACACAGACAGAGAGTGCAGAGCTGCCACTGGAGGAGGGTCAGTACGGACAGAAACAGTAGCCCTTCTGTGTTAATTTCATATAAAAAACTAGCAATGAATTTTACTGCAGTGATTCTTAACCTCTTACATGGCCAGGAAACGCCAGCAGGCCCAAAGTTTTATTACACAGTTCTATAACCAAAGAATAGCTCAACCAATTTGCATTTAAGTCCTTGTAGTAACTAAATAATAAGCCTTATTATGTAATAAGCCTGGAATTTTAAGGGGTTAAACTGTTGTGGTGTAATTCTGATGTGTTTTTGTTGGTTCGCCACATGACGGGGAAAGTGTGCCAGTTCATTTCCACGACTGTGAAATGTGTGGTGAGCAGGGGTGCCACCAGGCATTTTGGGCCACATGAAAAGATATCACCACCGCACCTCCCAACAACCACAGGCTACGCCAACCCTGCAAATATAACACTGTGCAGACATGCGTACAACATCCTGCAAACTGTGGAATTCATTATTTGATGCAAGAGTGATACCCTCTATGAGAAGATAACCCTCTGTAATGTGCTGAGTGTTTGAATTCTTATCAGTGAAAAGAATTTAATCATTTTTCTTTTTTCATAATAATAAATCTGAAGATCTGAACTATGTTAAAAGATATGGTCTTGCAAATGAGCATGATCTTAAATTTGCAGGCATAAACACACGGAGCAACAGTACACCACCCCCTGCTCTCAGCTTTTCAAAGAAATTTGAATGGATATTTTTCCACACCTGCACAGTTGAGCCTTAGAAGTTGGTTTGGAAATGTTCTTTTTTTGTCTATTATCTTTTCTCATTAACAGCTTCCTGACAGCTACACATCCTTTCAGACCCATAGTGTTGAGTTGTCTTCTCGCAGAGGAGGATGGACAGAAATATCTGTGGATTTTTTCAGATCTGAGTGAAACTTGATTTTCTGATAGCTTTACCTGCTGTTTATTGTGACAATGTTAGTTGTTAGGACTTCCACTCTCTATTTCTTTTACATGTATGTATTTTAATGAACTCCAGTTTTGGAAACTCAGTCATATCTAATCTCCTCAGTAATTTCCTGAAAAAGGAACAAATTGTACTCCATTTTGACTGGAAATAAAACAAATGAGGGATGGTCTCAGGCTTTTGCAGAGTAAACTGCACTAAACCGCACTAAATTTTACATTTTTGGAGGGTTTACTGTAACACTAGGCTGATGAGTCAGACACTTGTAACTGGAAGGTTTACTGAAAAAAAGAACTGATACAAAAAACAGGATACACACAGATCAAAAACCAGTAGAGCAAAACGTAATGCATGGGAGCAGGCAAAACCGTAGTCGTAAACAAGTGAGGGTCAGAACCAAAAGATCTATCTGACATGTAAACAAAGCCAACAGGGAAAATCCGAAAAACGACAAAGAGAAACACAGCAAGGTCAAACATGGAATAAGAGGCAAACTGGAAAACAGCTCAGCAAACACTGACAGAACAGGGGCAATACTTCACAATGTACCAATGAAACAGACCAGCTTATATACACAGTTCTACAGGTGATGTCAATCAGAATTCAGGCCACTTGGATCAGGCTAGTTCACTGGTGATTGGTTGATGGAGTCACATGACATACTGAGGGCTCTTGGGAGTTGGAGTTCGTAATGAAATCAGAGTCCGACTGAGAACCAGGAAGCGTGACGTTTACTGTACTCATCTGTTAAACTTACTAATGTTTATCTAGTAACACATACTTTTTTCATGTTTAATCCTTAGTTACTCTGGTAAAGGTAGTTAAGATCAATTAATTTAAATAAGTCCTACAGACTGAAGAGTTTTTTGCCCAAAAAAAGTAAAACCTACCTGCACATCTTAATTAAAGAAAGTTAACACAAAGATCTTTTTTTAGCATTTTTTGAATTAAGGTAACTTTATTCAGATGTTTTATATTCATTAGTTCTTTTAATTAGACTTCACAGGCAAAGACAGAAAGCCAGTAAGGGGTTGTTTTTAAAGACTTAATAAATTACAGACTGTTTACTCCATTTACTGGTCTTAGTTTTAGTTTTAGCCTATACAGAAGTACCTATGTTGTTGCTAAGCACATGAAATATTTTTGACGCCTTTAAGAGGTATCAAGTCACCACAGCTCAAGCAGAATGAGTTCTAATGTTTTATATTTAGCTAAAGCACCAATTGATTCCGCGGTTGTGCTAACTGTGAAATTATCTGATAGACTGCATAAATGTATACATTTACTTCTCATGGACTTCAGACATTCAAATCAGATCTTTGAGTTGAATCAACTTATCGCAATTTAGTTTACTCTGTTATGACTTCTCAGCTTTACTTGACAAATGTTTGGTCAATGCAACCTTCTTAGATAAAATCACTCCTATTTGCTCTTGGTACCACACATTTGCATATTGGGCGTATCGTCCCACCTTGTTTAACCTACTCTCTGTGTGTTGTCTTTTTCCCCAGCCTACCTTTCCTTGGGTGCTTCTAAAATCTGGTAATCTAATCTAAATCTGTAGTGATTATAAATCAGTGTTGAGTATACGGAGTTGCCACGATTGCATTTACTGAGCATGGTTCCTGTGGTCGCTGGACACTGCAGTGAGTACTTCTGCATTCTGGGCTGTACTATCAGCTTTTGGCAAGACAGTCCAGAGTAGTATTAAATTAATCTGCAATACAGTATGAATTTGTTATCGCTATAATCTAGTTTAGCCTAGCAGTGGATTTCTCAGTTGTATTGAGTACAATTATTAAGTCCAAAATAATCATTGTAAGATCAGCAAAATGAATTGAGTTAGTCCAATTTAATCAATTTACATAAGTGTTTACATAAGTGTAAACATATAATAAACATAATATTAGACAATAAACATACAATTTGGTCAGGGAATTATTTATTATTTAGTATTATTATTTATTAAATTAGAGTATCTTAAACAATTTAAGGCAACTGTTTTCCTCAAACCATTTGAGTTGACATCACATCAGGTTGTACAGTGCAAAGTAAACATAACTTGAAAATAATAATTGTATTTACACTTACAAGTCAACTGGTTGAATGGTCCTAAATTCCTTTAAGTAAGATCAACTTACCAACTTTTATAGTATTCTGTGTTGGGTTGTAAAGGAAGGCCTGTAGTGCATTATGTTATCAGGACACAGGAAAGATATTTCATTACAGCTACAAAAAACACTGTAACCAGATTACATTAACATTATAAAAATACTGTAATTAATAGCAGAATTACATTCAAACCACCAGTTGTCTTTCGTGAGTTTCGCCACAGTGCTCACTTCACCACAGAGGAAGAGGGGAGAGAGTGCGTTGTGGTATTAATGCAGTAATAATAACCAGATGTAAAGTAAAATAACCAGATGATGTTACTGTAATCTAGTACAGGTGATCAAATTATTGATCACCTGTACTAGTGATCAATAATCATTATTGATTGGCAAATTATTCAGTAACTGCATGAAATAAATGTAAATTTTTATTTTATTTATTTATTTTTTGTAAAAGCTCCCCTCAAATGAACAGAACATGTGTTTTATGATCATACACATATTGCTATATGCTTACAATTTACTGCTGAAAGCCAAAAATCTTAGATGCTCTTTGTATTTTTTTATAAAATTAATTTTTACAGAGCAGATCACTGAAGAGACGCCATCTGTTTATAGTTTATAGCCCAGATTTGTGGAAAAATGGGTCGACTTTCAGTAGACAAAAAAAATGTAAGTTTAGCTTCTTTTATTATAAGGGTTTAAAATTACATCACCCATCCATTTGACCAGAAAGAAGACAGTTACAGCTCTCATACGACACCCACCTTTTGAATGTAGCTTATGTTTTGCCTGATGTTTTGGAACCACCGGCGGTCTCAAGGAGTTAAGGTTAAGACAGCTTTCTTTCTGCTCACTATTTCTTCCTGTCCACAATTTTCAAATGAAAATCTACTTTATATATCTTGTTTCCCATTTTTGTAAATGACACAGTACACTGTGATACATCTGAAGCCGTGGGAAACACATACATTTAACGCAAGCCCAAGTGATGATACCATGTGAAAACAGCCGCCTTCCAATTCAGCAGAAAACCACAGTCAGAAAAAATAGTCAGACCTCATATTGAGGAAACGCGTAAACAGTGGCAGCAGACAAACAGAGGAGATCATATTTTGAAGACATGAGGATACCTTATGTACTTATCATTTTTATATTTTCTTCCATGGCGCTGGAAGGTAAGATAAAGGACATCTCATATTCTGTGATTTCAGCTTTACTGAAAGTAACAGTGGCTTCTGGCCTTAATGTTATCAACCGCATTCTAATTGTGTAGCATTATGCCTATCATTATACATCAAACAAGTGCCTTGATTGGACTTGAGTGGAAGTTGTATCATTATGTATGAGTTTACTTAATAGGTGAGGTTTGGAGCTGTGTTGAGTTTCAAGATGTTAACATGAGTGTATTTTACATTTGTATACATCAGCACTTTAAAACTGTGGAGATAAAGCTTAGAATGGTCTTCATCCCTTCTGTCTGCATTCCTACTTAAAATAAGAATATGTCTGTAAGATTTTGAAAAATTGGTAATTCGTCTTGAAAACATTTCTACTATTCGATATCACACTGTATTAAACTGATATCTGCAGGTGCCGGTTCCATCCGTTGTGCAAACGTTCTCACACATTGCCAACAAAACGGGTCTAACATCCCTCGGTGAGTTAAATGGGTTGAAAAAAGTGGAGAGACATTTACATTTATGAGCCCCATAAATGTGCATTAATATTAAAAAATACTTTATATTTATATATATATACAACCTTATAAAAATACAATCTGTGTATATATGCATATAACTATGCTTTTCAATATTTCAGTATTTTAATCTGAATGTTCTTTGACTTGATTTCAGGATCACTGAAAAATAATTGTATTATTAATTGGTTATTCTTTGTCTTATTTAAAAACCATGAGGAAAAAGAACATTCTACTTAATACATATTTATACTACATATGACTTTTTTGTAGTTTTTGATCAGGTTTAATCATTTTATCCCTTTGTAAACTTGGGGAAGTTGGCACAGCAGCAGAGAAATCACTGAACCGGCTGTAGCTGTTATTATAGTTCATGAAGCTATGAGATCTCAACCACACAGAGTTAAACTACAGCAGACAGAAAAGTCATTTTAATTAAAAAATGGAACAATTGCATGATTGGACTATAGAATAAAGCTTGGATACCACTTTACAATAAAATAGAATTGAGTTCAACTTAAGTTAAAGTGATACTTTTCATGTAAACGATTAGAAGTAATTATAAAATTTCAAACATTAACAAACAATTTAAACAGTCTCATAAACCTGGAGAGTATTGTTAATGCGGTAAGCTTTGCCATCTGAGTCAGGTATATGTCATTGTGTCCCATGAAGAATCACAGTATTGGACAGTATGTGTTTTTTTGTATGTTTGTGTAAATAAACATACAAAATTACTGCTTATTTTCTGGTAATACAAGACTAGCATGACTTCTTTCACTAGTAGTAATTATTAGCTTGCTTCTACTACTGCTTTATCAGTAAGAATAGAGAATAGCATCTAATCAGATGACAGCGATTCATTAACCCTGACATTTTTGAACAGGTGTGTTGAAAACATGATGAGAAACTGTGGAAAAAGTCTTCCACGGGGTTTTCATAGCCCAGATTTCTACTTGAGGTCTGCAAATTCCTCCAGTGCGGTAAGAGAATTTTTGTTTTTTTCATATTTGCAAAAACAAACATGTCTGGCATTTACAAAACTCACCAAACCACTCTCTGTAAACCCTGATTTAAGTACACAAATGTAGTATATGTGGCACTGATTGCTGACATATGCGTTCAGTTACCCACAGCTTGTACAATCTCCATACAAAAGCATTCCCAATAGATTGGGACACTCTGGAGCAGCAGCACATGAGCCTAAGGTCACCATGCCCAATGCCAAGCGTCAGCTAGAGGGGTCTAAAGGCCCCCAGTACTGGGCTGTGGAGCAGTGGAACTGTGTTCTCTAGAGTGATGAAGCTCCATACAGTACCTCTGGGAAGAGTTGGAATGATCCAGAACTGACCGTCCAACATCAGTACCTGACCTCATTAATGCTCCTGTGGCTGAATACAACAAACCCTGACAGTAATGATCCAACATCTACCATAAAGGCTTTTTGGAAGAGTAGAGGATGTTATTACAGCCAACTCTCTATTAGTTTTTTAGAAAAAATGATGTTTTGATGGAATAGTGGAATTGAACATATAGTGTAATTGTGAAACTGTAAACTGCTGAATTGCAAATGCAGACATAGGGTAAAGTATACACCAGGGGTATACTCCGGTCCTGGAGGGCCAGTGTCCAGCGCAGTTTGGTGATTTACTTGCTCCAAGACACCTGATTACATTTGTTTGTTAGTTGCCGGGTTAAGTGGTGTGTTTGAGCAGGAAAACCTTCAAACTGTGCAAATGAATACACAGATGTGTCTAGCTAGAGACAGAATGTGTTATTTTTTAACAAATTTGTTGTAGGAGTCTCTAAAATATCCTATCAAGTGGCTGTGTAATTAAAGATACAGGCATACTGTGTGTAGCATAAAAAAGCAGTAGTATCGCTTAGCTTGGCAGTCTTACTTCACTAGCTTATGAATATTACACGATTATTAGCTTGCTGGGTTAAAAAGTGTCCACATTTTAAGCATCACCTCATATGAAAACACATTTGTACCTAGTTGCGTTAGTCAGCTTTGTTCAACACTGTTTTGTTCAGACTGACTGAGATGATAAAGAGCCAATGTCTTCATATGTTTTAAAGCTCAAAATAAAGCCAAGATAATGCACTGTTGTTTTGTTTATGTACAGTCAGCAATGGCATGCTCTTCCATGCATCTGGCCATAGACAGTGTTACTAACTCCTGGTGGCAGGGGAATTGCAGAAGAGGAACTTTTAACGTTTTAATATCCATTTCTATATTTCAATATTTTTTATTGACTTTTTTATTAAGTTTTAGTTTGACAGACCCAGTACGGATCTCCAGCAGATAATATTTAGGAACAGGAAACTGATCTGCAAGAACATACATGAATTTCCTAGTACACAGCCTACAAGCACTGTGAAGAGCAGGAAAATGTGTATGGATAAATAATTTATTTGTCTAACTTGTTGTTTTCACAGGCCAGAGTGGACACAGATTATGGACATGTAATCTATGTTCCCTCAGAAGCTGTCCTGAAAAGCAAAAGGCCAGACAGTGAAAATGACGTGTACTTGATTGTAACTGTTTTCAACAGCAGCCTTTTTGAGGTTAGTAGCAGATTTTAGCCAATGTGGTCATCTCATTTTTTAAATTAATTTATTTTTTAGATTTAAGACACGTGATTCAAATCATGGGCTAAAAGACCTGTACACAGCTGTATTGTTTACTTGTACATGACTTTTCAATCTCTCACTAATTACATTACAGATGCTCCTCTTGTGAAACAGACTAATTCACACAAAATTAAACTAAACTCACAAATGAAATCTGCAGTGTTCTGGCTCTACAGCAGTGTTTCTCAACACTATCCTAACAGACAGTCCATAGTTTTGCTTTAAGTTAGTTCCCAGTACAGCTCAACTTTGTTTGGGCGTTAAAAAACGGCTGTCGCAATTTACCAAAAAAGGCTCTTTGGCGTCTGTAATAAGATGGGGGTGGAGGTGTTCCTTGCCTCACTACATATGCATTTATCGGGGTTTCCCTCTTAAGGTGCAAAATACTGGGAGAGGATTTTTACAATAAAGCGCTTATTCTGATTTACTTAGACGGATAGTATACTGGCTGTGCGCTGTTTAATGGTCTTTTTTTTTCTGCTAACATGGCTGCCATTGTGGTTGCTGAGAGAGAAAAGAGAGAGTTTATTAGACACATTTGTTTTCAACTTCAATGAAAATAAAAATGTCTTGTCCAAATAATGACTTGACCATGTTCTTTCCCAAACTATTGTGAAACACTTTGTTTCTAACAGTTACTGATAAGAATTACTAAGAATTTTGTTACTTGCATTATTCATATCTCTCTGAGAGAACAATATTACACACAATGCATTTAAAATGTGTTTCCTCTATATAGATTATCTGTGCCAGTGTTCTGATTACGTGTCCTACCATAGCACATATTTATAGATAGATCCCTACATGAAACTATAGGTTGGATATTTCTATTTTCTATTTTTATTAATAATCACCTTCACAGAAAATGCTACCTCCATTAAAACTATAGATACATTTTTATAACCTTAATTGACCTTATCAGAAAATGCTAGCAACATTAAAACTGTAAGTAGGACATTCAGACAGCCTAAATCTCCAGATCAGAAAAATATTACCAGCATTAAAACTAAAGGTAGGAGATGTTGATACCCTAAATTACTTTATCAAGGGTAAGTAGTATTATTAATCTTGATGTCTTGCAGAAAGCTTACTAGCACTTGTGGTAAGATAGAATTAAAAACACAATATTACTGTAGTGTTTACTGCTATTTAAAGAGACACAGCTTTTCTATAAGTCATGGTACTTTGTTTTCCTGTTGTTGTTGGCCACAGCTACACTGTACATGAATGGAGTTTTTTTTCTCTAACAGCTCGTTCGCTACCCAGCTCATGTGCCCTCATCCGCCACTCTCTTAGCTACAGTGAGACCTTAGCAAAATGAACCCAGTGAATACATGCTAAAGAACGCACAACCTAAAACTTACATGTAAACATTTACGTTATAAATACTGAATTACTATATTATTTAATCGTATGCATGTGTGGTAGAACAGATTGTTAGAATGCCTGTATGTGAATAGCGTGCATGTGTGTGCTACCGGCGACAGCTGACTTTGTAAATACGAGCAGTGCAGCATGAGCACAGGAAGTGCTATAAACTCTACCATGCTATGAAACCTCTGCAGTGCTATAAATCTGTCAAAGCATCTAACCCTATTAATATGAAACTGCTGAAGAACAGAGCTGAGCACTTGAAGCTCTGGATGGCACCACCTGATGCCACCTGAAGTTCAATCCTAACAAGACTAAGCTGCAATTCATCCCTGGAGCTACAGATCCTCAGCATGATCTTGCCATCTCATACGAGAACTCTTGGTCAGTCTGTCTGAAGATGCAAGAAGCCCTGGTGTGATTCTGGAAGACCAGTTATCGTCCTCAGCTCATACTGCAGACAGCCATGCAGGTTTCTCCTCTGCAACATCTGGGGCCATATTACAGAAACTTCTTAAGTTTGAAATCTCATCCTATCTGTTTAGTCACCATGACAACTTCAGTTAGGACTGAATTTAGGACAGAAGCTATTACAGTACAACAGTTCTTAAGTTCATAATCTTATCATAAGCTCCAGATAAGAAAACAGTATGACACAATCATCCTAACTAGACAAAAAGCTCCTAAATTTTGTCCTAACTTTAAGCCAACCCCAGAGCTGTCTTAACTTCTGTTTAACTGTCTGTTTATATTGTTTTATGCAGTGACAGGCAGCACAGTTTACTTTAACTAGCATATAGATGTTACATTTATCTACACTGAAAACGGTGCTTTGACTTTTTTTCTAACAGCATTTTAAAACCCCAAATGCTGCAAACATGATCTCCACCTCCCCCCTTATTACCTTCGAGTGATGATGTTGATGAAAACCTGTCAGATAAAATATTACAGTGATGGTGGTGAATAATGAGCAGACAGAGCTGAATGTGTGCCTGTTTATTAGGAGGAATAACATTAGCACACTCAGCTAAAGTGTTTGGGAAATGAAACTGAAACTGTGGAGCGGCAAAACAGCACAAAGTGCTGACACAATATTCTTACCTTTAGGTTTATAGCGCTTCAGTTTTGTTTGACCTTTTTAAATCAGTAACGGTAGCTAATGTTAGCTGTCTGGCTAACTAGCTTGTGCGCATATGGTCGCTTGCTAGGTAAGAGACGTGACAGTTGACTGTCAACTTCAATCGAGTAAGTTAAGATTTCTTAACTTGAGATAAGATGCTGTAAGATACAATAAGATTCCTCAATCCTACAAGATAAGATTTGCTTCAGTTATATGAATTTGTGAAAAATCTTATTTTGACCTTGCTCTTAGCTGGTCATCCTAAGCGGCCCTCAGGCTCTTGCCACTGACCTAGTGCGCTGCAGCACAGCTTGGCTTTAATCTTCTGAAGTCCACTCATATCACTTCACTGCTGTGTTCACTTCACTGATAGCCTCCTGCATCAGACCTAAAACACTGATGCTTGCTTTTAAAGCCAAAAACGGACCAGCCCCTTTGACCATGGCAATGGTCAAAACTTGATCTGTACCTCAAGCCCTTCAAGCTTCAAGCACAGCTCAGCCTGGAAGACAAGCATCAAGACTTTTCTCTGTCCTGGCACCCAGGTGGTGGAACAAACTTCAACTGACTGTCCGAACAGCAGACTCCCTTAATGATTGTCTAGATAGGTAGTTTGGACTCAAACCTATTTGTATAAGCTAGGAGACATTCTCTGAGTGGACAACACAGCACTTTTGTAAGTCACTCTGGATGACAGCATCTTGTAAAATGTACATATAAATGGAGAAGCTCTATAAGCTTTAAATTTTATTCTTAAAAAATTTTACATCAAGCTTATGAACAATTTTTGCTGGTTAGTTTATGTGTTTTCAAACAGCATTACACCAATTAATAACTGTATTCAAGCATAACCAGTAGTGTCTTGTTCAAAAGCAGGATGGTGACAGGCCTTTTAAATGGCGTTTACTGTGATTAATACTGCTCATAATTCTTTAAACTATGGTGATTGCAAAAAGCAATTTTCTCTACATTAACCCTCTAAATGGTCAGGTCCCACCAGTCGGCCCAGTTTTTTTTTTTTACACACTTCTATAACCTAAGAATAACTCCGCCAGTTGCATTGAAGTCCCTGAATAGTTACTGAATAATAAGCCTTAATATGTAATAAGCCTGTGAGTTAAACACATGATCTTTACATAACTTTAATCAGTCATACTGGTGTTCTCTACCTGTATTGTGGCACAGGCACCATCAGATAGAGGATCTCTTCATGAGCAGGTCTTAGGAGTGTGGCTTGGCGATCAGAATGTCCACAATCTTTCTAATCCTGTTAGGATAAAGTTTGTAAATGTCAGTAAGGTAAGAAATTCACCTGTTAATACAATCTACACTTAACAGTATCTACACTCTTACAATCTTAATTGTATCTACACTCGGTCCGTTTGATCAGCTTCACTGCCTATATAGGGGCCATATAGACCCCTTCATCAGTGGTCACAGGACGCTGCCCACAGGACGCTTTTGGCTGGATGTTTTGGTTTTGGTTCCAGCAGTTCTCGGTTCTCAGTCCAGCAGTGACAATGAGGTGTTTAAAAACTCCAGCAGCACTGCTGTGTCTGATCCACTCGTACCAGCACAACACACACTAACACACCACCACCACATCAGTGTTACTGCAGAGCTGAGAATGATCCACCATACAAATAATACCTGCTCACAAATGAAGAACAGGGTAAAAGGGGGTGACAAAGTATACAGAGAAAACAGATGGACTACAGTCTGTAATTGTTTACTGGAATCACATAAAACTATTACATTTCTACAGTTGGAGATGGATTTGTGATCCCCCTGCCCTCAAATTACAATGTGAAATGTGAGAAAACTGTTGAGCAGCCTGTGAAAGGGTTAATAAAATGTACAATTTTGACAGGCGCAGAATTGAAGTAATTTGTTCTAATTTGTGTTCTTCCAAAAAACATTCATATGTTTCAGGATGGGAGTGGACAGTGTGTCTCCTGGAAGTGGTCAAACAGTAGTGATCAAGGTCCTGAACCAAACTCTGTTGAAATTCTAAAATAATCTTCATGTATTGTTGCAAGAAATGTAATGAGAACATAAAAACACACCGGGGGTCTCTGAATGATGTTTATTTTTCACTGTGAAAAAGACCGCAGGTCAAACGGTTTTATGATTTCCTGTTTCATGTTTATTTCTGTACGTTTAGGTAGTTGGAGCACAGACGGCTGTAACACCATCCAGAACAACACAGACTTTGTCTGTAAATGCAATCACATCAGTTTCTTTGCAGTGCTTATTGTAAGTTCATGCTTCCCAACAGACTACAATGGTCAAACACTAACTTCCTGAAATGCACTCTTGAAGATGACTGTTCTCTCTCCATCCTTCCTGGCAATCAGATAAGCTGTACAAATATAATAAACGGTAATGGTGAAGTGAATTTTAAACACAAACAGTTAACTCACAGTTTTACTTCTGCTTCATATGAGTTTAAAACACTGGTAAAATAGGCCAAAACCGATAGATGACAGCTAATAAACTACAACACCCGTTTCACAAGCTCAGTGTTCTGTTCATCTTTCACACAAACCACATGAACATGCATGCTGGGTGAACTAATTCCGCCTTGGTGAAAACTACTGACCCACTTGCTTTTAAAAGCAGCGTCTACTGTCTGCTACGTTTATCTCTGTATGAGACGCTACACCACACAGAGTGACTGACTTTTTGAGATGCGCAGGTGCCGCACACATCATGGGCGGATGTTTCATTTCACTGTTTTCACGCCTGCTGTGACAGTATGCTTCCCTTTGGTCGCTTGGCGGTTTTGTTTGCTGGCATTATTTTCTTCATCTTTGTTATGTACATTTTGGCTGCCCAATTTTAAGGATGCTTTATAAGTAGGTTAGGTGTTGCACCGATGGTTAGGTTTATGTTAACCTGTGTTCCTTGAAGTGTGGGCAATCTTGCTACTGCTATTTTTGTTTGTGCCACTGATGTGATAACCACACTGCTGTCTGTCAGCAATAAGTTATAACCTCATATCCTGCCAATAGACACAGCATGTCTGAAAAATCAATTGTATGGCAATTTACTGTTGTCTTTATGCACCCAGCGCAGGTCAGTTACCACTGGATGACAACAAATAAATGACTTTATTATATTTCATATTACAACAGAAAAAATAACTCAAGAGGTTTGGTTTTAACACCACAGATAACCTCATTACAGTTTTGAATATCGCAAGCTCCAGATTATGCAGCTTGGTCAAAACATTCAAAAACATTCCTCATTCATTCATTAATAAATGAATAAATAAGTAAGCAAGCATTTAGAAAGTTAACATGCCCAACATTGTAGTTAGTATGTCATCATCGTAATGCTGCACAGCTCTACTGTAACCTGCTACGATGTCATAAAAAAAAAGTATGACCTGACCACCAACAAAGACAGCCAGGGCTGTTTAAACATTTGCACCCAGATGTCTATAATTGGATGATCCAGGCCAGGAGGCACCACATGAAGGCCCTTCAAAGTTAAATTATGAAGTTTTTAGAGGAACATAAACTTACTGAGCTGTGACTTCCAAAGTCCTCACTCATTCATTCAAGTAGATTCCCAAATAAGAAAGCATTGGTGAATGTCAGAATCTTCCTAAAAACAGCAAAGTGAGTTTTAAGAAGAATTTTTTTTCTTAACAACGGCTGGAGAACAAGGTCTGATGTTATTTTCCTTTTGGCCGGGGACGGAAGTGAACAGGTCAAGAATGGAAAGCAATCAGATAAGCTGTACAAATATAATAAACGGTAATGGTGAAGTGAATTTTAAACACGAACAGTTAACTCACAGTTTTACTTCTGCTTCATATGAGTTTAAAACACTGGTAAAATAGGCCAAAACCGATAGATGACAGCTATTAAACTACAACACCCGTTTCACAAGCTCAGTGTTCTGTTCATCTTTCACACAAACCACGTGAACATGCATGCTGGGTGAACTAATTCCGCCTTGGTGAAAACTACTAACCCACTTGCTTTTAAAAGCAGCGTCTACTGTCTGCTACGTTTATCTCTGTATGAGACGCTACACCACACAGAGTGACTGACTTTTTGAGATGCGCAGGTGCCGCACACATCATGGGCGGATGTTTCATTTCACTGTTTTCACGCCTGCTGTGACAGTATGCTTCCCTTTGGTCGCTTGGCGGTTTTGTTTGCTGGCATTATTTTCTTCATCTTTGTTATGTACATTTTGGCTGCCCAATTTTAAGGATGCTTTATAAGTAGGTTAGGTGTTGCACCGATGGTTAGGTTTATGTTAACCTGTGTTCCTTGAAGTGTGGGCAATCTTGCTACTGCTATTTTTGTTTGTGCCACTGATGTGATAACCACACTGCTGTCTGTCAGCAATAAGTTATAACCTCATATCCTGCCAATAGACACAGCATGTCTGAAAAATCAATTGTATGGCAATTTACTGTTGTCTTTATGCACCCAGCGCAGGTCAGTTACCACTGGATGACAACAAATAAATGACTTTATTATATTTCATATTGCAACAGAAAAAATAACTCAAGAAATAACTCAACTTTGGTTTTAATTATATTAATTGTATTAACAACAGTTATAGTAGTGTTCCTTATCAGTCTGGTAGACTATGTGTGCACAGTAACGAGTATGGATATGACTCTCATTCACAATGTTGTTTCCTGACAGAGCCCTGATGTGCCGGAGCCTGCTGATGTTCAGCATCTTGAGTATTGCTTATATATGGACCATTCTACCAAATCAGTTCAAACTTCAGTGCCATAGAAATGAAAACATAATAATAACATCATAATAATAAAACAATTAAGTGTGCAGATATTAGATATTTACAAGAATTATGTTATGATCTGAGGCATTAATTGAGATAGTAATAAGCTATGTATACAAAATCATCTTTTATAGGGCACTTTCTATTAGGAGGTGGATGACGCAAACCCTAACTCCTAAATTTCAAATCATGAAAATAAAACTTAATATTTGTGCATGTTTTCCAATGTTGTTTTTTTTTCTTTTTAGAATTAAGTTGAAATATATACATTCATCATGAGTTTAATTTGTAAATAAAAAAAAAACTTTATTAAAAAATGCTCAGTTTTTATGCCACTACTGAAACACAAAGAATTTTAGTCACTAGGCGGGGCTCATTTTAGCCACACCCCTGCATTTGTGAGCAGAAAGTGAGACTGCATCCCTGTCCCTCATGGCCACAAGGTGAGCACTGAGATCCCACTGTTTTGAGGTAAAAGGCCCCAAAGTCTGAAAATCACTGTGTTTCATTAAGAATAGTCAACAAAAGGCTTTGGAATCGATCCCACACAGAGATGTTCAGGTTTACCCACACTTGTGTGCACATGGAAAGCATGATATAATCAGGCCCAGATCACCCTGTGGATTTTATGGGTATGTGCCCAGGGGGCCCCAGCCACCCACCCAGCCCAGCGAGCAATTATGAGGAAATTTAAACAGCTGTTTTGATGCACGATAGGTACTTCAGTAGTGGCGCAGCGGGAAAAATAAATTCACTTAAGCCTTGTCATTGTGTCTCGGCTGATCATAATCCCGATGCTCTCCAAGTTTTTTTCTTATTTTCTCCTCCAATCACTGCTTAGCAACTGTTCCACTATCTGCCCAACCTCAGTCAAACTTTCAGGTTGTTTTTTACTTTGAATCTGAAGCTCCAGATATTCAAAAAATTAATCGAGACCTGATGCCGCAACAAAGTGGAGAATTTTTCAAAGCCAGACACATATGAAAACGGTCAGTCTGAGTTGAGAAAAAAAAGTTGCTGTCATTGTCTGCAGTGATCTGCAAACTGTCTACTGTGTGGCCATAAAATAACCAAAAGTAGGACATTTTCACGCCTGCTGTGACAGTATGCTTCCCTTTGGTCACTTGACGGTTTTGTTTTTTAAGTTTGCTGGCGTTATTTTCTATATCTTTGTTATGTACATTTTGGCTGCCCAATTTTAAGGATGCTTTATAAGTAGGTTAGGTGTTGCACCGATGGTTAGGTTTATGTTAACCTGTGTTCCTTGAAGTGTGGGCAATCTTGCTACTGCTATTTTTGTTTGTGCCACTGATGTGATAACCACACTGCTGTCTGTCAGCAGTAAGTTATAACCTCATATCCTGCCAATGGACACAGCATGTCTGAAAAATCAATTGTACAGCAATTTACTGTTGTCTTTATGCACCCAGCGCAGGTCAGTTACCACTGGATGACAACAAATAAATGACTTTATTATATTTCATATTGCAACAGAAAAAATAACTCAAGAAATAACTCAACTTTGGTTTTAATTATATTAATTGTATTAACAACAGTTATAGTAGTGTTCCTTATCAGTCTGGTAGACTATGTCTGCACAGTAACGAGTATGGATATGACTCTCATTCACAATGTTGTTTCCTGACAGAGCCCTGATGTGCCGGAGCCTGCTGATGTTCAGCATCTTGAGTATTGCTTATATATGGACCATTCTACCAAATCAGTTCAAACTTCAGTGCCATAGAAATGAAAACATAATAATAACATCATAATAATAAAACAATTAAGTGTGCAGATATTAGATATTTACAAGAATTATGTTATGATCTGAGGCATTAATTGAGATAGTAATAAGCTATGTATACAAAATCATCTTTTATAGGGCACTTTCTATTAGGAGGTGGATGATGCAAACCCTAACTCCTAAATTTCAAATCATGAAAATAAAACTTAATATTTGTGCATGTTTTCCAATGTTGTTTTTTTTCTTTTTAGAATTAAGTTGAAATATATACATTCATCATGAGTTTAATTTGTAAATCCATCCATCCATCATCTAAACCGCTTATCCTTCTGGGTCGCGGTGGGGTGCTGGAGCCTATCCCAGCTGTCACTGGGCGGAAGGCAGGATACACCCTGGACAGGTCGCCAGTCCATCGCAGGGCAGACAGACAGACAAACACATTCACACACACAATCACACCTAGGGGCAATTCAGCATGTCCAATTGGCCTGACTGCATGTTTTGGGACTGTGGGAGGAAACCCACGCAGACACGGGGAGAACATGCAAACTCCACACAGAAATGACCCTGGTCACCCGGCCGGGAATCGAACCCAGGCCATTCTTGCTGTGAGGCGACAGCGCTACCCACTGCGCCACCGTGCCGCCCTTAATTTGTAAATAAAAAAAATAAAAAAAAACTTTATTCAAAAAATGCTCAGTTTTTATGCCACTACTGAAACACAAAGAATTTTAGTCACTAGGCGGGGCTCATTTTAGCCACACCCCTGCATTTGTGAGCAGAAAGTGAGACTGCATCTCTGTCCCTCATGGCCACAAGGTGAGCACTGAGATCCCACTGTTTTGAGGTAAAAGGCCCCAAAGTCTGAAAATCACTGTGTTTCATTAAGAATAGTCAACAAAAGGCCTTGGAATCGATCCCACACAGAGACGTTCAGGTTTACCCACACTTGTGTGCACATGGAAAGCATGATATAATCAGGCCCAGATCACCCTGTGGATTTTATGGGTATGTGCCCAGGGGGCCCCAGCCACCCACCCAGCCCAGCGAGCAATTATGAGGAAATTTAAACAGCTGTTTTGATGCACGATAGGTACTTCAGTAGTGGCGCAGCGGGAAAAATAAATTCACTTAAGCCTTGTCATTGTGTCTCGGCTGATCATAATCCCGATGCTCTCCAAGTTTTTCTTATTTTCTCCTCCAATCACTGCTTAGCAACTGTTCCATTATCTGCCCAACCTCAGTCAAGCTTTCAGGTTGTTTTTTACTTTGAATCTGAAGCTCCAGATATTCAAAAAATTAATCGAGACCTGATGCCGCAACAAAGTGGAGAATTTTTCAAAGCCAGACACATATGAAAACGGTCAGTCTGAGTTGAGAAAAAAAAGTTGCTGTCATTGTCTGCAGTGATCTGCAAACTGTCTACTGTGCGGCCATAAAATAACCAAAAGTAGGACATTTTCACGCCTGCTGTGACAGTATGCTTCCCTTTGGTCGCTTGACGGTTTTGTTTTTTAAGTTTGCTGGCGTTATTTTCTTCATCTTTGTTATGTACATTTTGGCTGCCCAATTTTAAGGATGCTTTATAAGTAGGTTAGGTGTTGCACCGATGGTTAGGTTTATGTTAACATGTGTTCCTTGAAGTGTGGGCAATCTTGCTACTGCTATTTTTGTTTGTGCCACTGATGTGATAACCACACTGCTGTCTGTCAGCAATAAGTTATAACCTCATATCCTGCCAATGGACACAGCATGTCTGAAAAATCAATTGTACAGCAATTTACTGTTGTCTTTATGCACCCAGCGCAGGTCAGTTACCACTGGATGACAACAAATAAATGACTTTATTATATTTCATATTACAACAGAAAAAATAACTCAAGAGGTTTGGTTTTAACACCACAGATAACCTCATTACAGTTTTGAATATCGCAAGCTCCAGATTATGCAGCTTGGTCAAAACATTCAAAAACATTCCTCATTCATTCATTAATAAATGAATAAATAAGTAAGCAAGCATTTAGAAAGTTAACATGCCCAACATTGTAGTTAGTATGTCATCATCGTAATGCTGCACAGCTCTACTGTAACCTGCTACGATGTCATAAAAAAAAAAGTATGACCTGACCACCAACAAAGACAGCCAGGGCTGTTTAAACATTTGCACCCAGATGTCTATAATTGGATGATCCAGGCCAGGAGGCACCACATGAAGGCCCTTCAAAGTTAAATTATGAAGTTTTTAGAGGAACATAAACTTACTGAGTTGTGACTTCCATAGTCCTCATTCATTCATTCAAGTAGATTCCCAAATAAGAAAGCATTAGTGAATGTCAGAATCTTCCTAAAAACAGCAAAGTGAGTTTTAAGAAGAATTTTTTTTCTTAACAACGGCTGGAGAACAAGGTCTGATGTTATTTTCCTTTTGGCCGGGGACGGAAGTGAACAGGTCAAGAATGGAAAGCAATCAGATAAGCTGTACAAATATAATAAACGGTAATGGTGAAGTGAATTTTAAACACAAACAGTTAACTCACAGTTTTACTTCTGCTTCATATGAGTTTAAAACACTGGTAAAATAGGCCAAAACCGATAGATGACAGCTAATAATCTACAACACCCGTTTCACAAGCTCAGTGTTCTGTTCATCTTTCACACAAACCACGTGAACATGCATGCTGGGTGAACTAATTCCGCCTTGGTGAAAACTACTGACCCACTTGCTTTTAAAAGCAGCGTCTACTGTCTGCTACGTTTATCTCTGTATGAGACGCTACACCACACAGAGTGACTGACTTTTTGAGATGCACAGGTGCCGCACACATCATGGGCGGATGTTTCATTTCACTGTTGAGGGGCAATAAACAGCAAAATTTCTCAAGAGCAATTCATGAAGGAATCACCAAAGGTGCTGCCAAAAGCACTTTTGTTTTAAATGTATGAAGGAAAACCCTTATTACTACTACAAATACTGGATAACTGATAAGTAAATAATTTAAGGTTGTACCAGCATGCTGAAACGTTTCAATAATTATATTAATTGTATTCACAACAGTTATAGCAGTGTTCCTTATTAGCCCGGTAGAATATGGCCCAAACCCATTTCTTTGTTTTACCCCTACCCCTTGTTTTCGAGTGTCACCCTAACCCCTTGGAACTGAGTTACAAGGGGTAGTGGTTGAAATCTTGCCATACAAAATGGGACCCTCGCTGCATTAACAGGCTACCAGCGCTGCTCTGTAGGCGACCTGGCCCGTCTTCAGTGATAGCAGAGGAGGGAAAAGGTCAGC